TTTTTTTTATATATTAATCCAAAAGTTTTGATCATTTAAACATTATTTTTAATGTATAGCCATATTTGAGTAGACACTTAATTTGTTTATTTTCATTTACTGGCCTGAATAATCGAGAAATCTTATTAAAGATGCATCCTTCAGCAAGATTTGAACCTGTGCACTCCATTGGCAGAAGAAACCGTGCTTAAATCTGATGTGATTTAGACCAACTCAACCATGAAGTGTCACCCCGATTGATCAAAGTAGTGTCTTATAAGCGTAAATTTCTTCAAACATTCTCAAAACATTCATAGCTACTCAGTTTCAAATCCCAATGTATACAAAGCAATTTCTACAGAAGTAATGGATTTTTTATTTATTAATCCAACAAGAGGGCGCATCTTTCCTTTAATAGGATTTCTAAAATATTCAGGTTGGTAGACGAAAATAAATAAATATATTTAATAAATAAACAGGGCGTGTACTCATATATGGGTATCCACTAAAATAGCATTTAAAGTGATCAAATATATAATATTATTATAATACAATTGTATACAGATCTATGCTTACTAGGTTTGTCTACAATGAGGAAATGTATATATTATAATCAAAAGCCAAAATAAATGTGTTTAGTATTTTGTCAAGAGGAGAAAAAGAAATTGGACATAGACTAGGTTGTACCGGAGTTAGTTTCAACCAACACTACGAAATTGCTATGAAACCAAAACATCAACCTGAAAACTCAAATCATGTTCTTAAATAGCCTTGTCAGATCAAATCCAGATTTTCATATGGATGTCATGCATGGTGCCAAACCTGTTCAGCTGCATATAACCACCTCCTAAAATCAATGGTGAAAAAAAGGCTTTGAACTTGTAAAGGCTGAGGGTCTTGATAAAGATCATCCTGCTTTGAACATTATAGATTTGTGCTACAGAAACACAGAAGAAGAACTATACCAAATAACAAAAAACGCATCACTTCAGGACTACCAACAGCAGCAACAACTAAAACGGATAGCACATGTAACTCAAAGAGAAAATAATGACATAATCAGGATTTTAACATTCCACACTGCTTCAAATAGAAAATTTAGAAGGAAATCCCTATCAATACTGGAAAGCTATAACAGAAAACTGTTTTCCTAAAAACATTATTTATGAGAAATATTTTATAAATTTCAACCAAAGCAGTACTGGTTGCTTGGTCATTGAATACCAAATGTTTCCTTGTAAGGAAATGGTTAACACTGCAATTACCATATACTGGGCCAGTAGATGCTTCTGCATGATCAAAGCATTCATTTTAACACTTACTCTCTCTGACAATCAACCAGATAGCCAAATCCAGGCTTTATATGAACTGCTGAAATTATATTTACAGTAATTCTGCACCAACTGAATATTGATCATTTCCCATATCCAATGCAGAGTTAACTGTGTGACACACACACGAAAGTATAATCTATTCATAATTTTTCACATACAGAAATAAGGGTCATGTGATGGACAAAATTGCATTGTACAAATTCAGTGTCTATATATATATATATATATATATATATATATATATATATATATATATATATATATATATATTAATATTTTGAACAATAAAAAATATTAAAAAATTAAAATCTTCAGACACACTGGGTTGTATATTAATATTCTTTTGTTTTTATTATTTCAGTTAGATTCCTTGACTAGTTTTGGCCAACATGGCCATCATAAGGAGGAAAAAAATTTCTGCTTGCTGGTAGCAGTTAACTACAGAAATGAATGTTTTGATGGAGAAAATGAACATTTGTTTGCAGTTTTCATTTGTTTTTTATTTTATCATTAGCATGACCAAGTTTCATGCACAATGCAATCATCAGGTGCTGAGCATGAAATGACCATTACACAATTTGAATTATAATATATTTGGTTCTCTCAATGTTGGCATAGTTATATATTATGCTGGGATTACAGTTTTTTTTTTTTAATTTTAAAAATTATATTTGGCACTTAAAAGAAGAGGGATTATATATATATATATATATATATATATATATAAAAAAGGAATTAAAAAATTATATATTTGGGTGAGAAATTGTCATGTTTTAATGTTTTTAAATTATACAATTAAAGGGTGATTACTTGTTCTTATTGAAACAGAACATGGATGTAGTTTATTGTCATAACCAGAATGGAGTTTTAAAAGTAATTTTGTTACTGATTTTCCAATTTAGTTTTTTCTTTTCCTAACAAAAGTCAATATCACATTTGAAATTTGAAAGTTAGAATTAGCGTTTGTTTATTCCAAAGAGTATCCATATAAGATTTTATAAATTCAATAGATTTATCCAACTCTTAAACTGGCTAACCAGATAATTAATTCAATATTACAGCTTTAATTATCGACTGAGCACTTTTCAGCAGAATTTCTGCTAACCTGAAAAAACACATAACATTCTTGTAATTTTTGACATATTTTTCTTTTTCTAATAATAATACAGGAATACAGAAGGCACTTATTTCCCTTTGGTGGGTCACACGATGGCCGCTTGATGACGTCACTTCATACAGTGACAAAAGCAGTAGACAAATTCAGTTTTGTTTAGAGCAGTCACTACATGAGGTTGTTGAGGCTAAATCTGCCTCCCCCAGAAGCTTACAAGCACACAGTGCAGTTTCCTTTTGAGAATATCTCTTTCTCAGATATAGAAAGAAACTCCAGCTCGCAGTCCTCCCAAGACTTGCTGTTTCCAATTTGCGGAATATGTCCTGGACATAGATGAATACATCCTGTTTGAATCTGGAGTCCAAAACATGGCTTCTCCAGACACAGGAGTATCTCCATTTTATATGTAAGACCCTTCCTTTTTGTTTCTCCTTACACTTTGCTTTGCTGTGTAGATATATGCAATATATTATTCTCCTTGTGGGACATGTGTACATTTGTATATATAGTTGTCTTTATGCCTTAGTGTATAAAAGTCTCCATGAAAACGAAGCATGTTTGTCATTCTTCTTCCTGTCAGCTGTTCGATACTGTCCATGAACTATAGTGTTATTGTATCATGGATACAATAATTCCCATAATGAGAAAAGTACAAATGGAAGAATAAATCATTCTTCCATAGCTCTCTCTTGTTACAACAGTAATAATTGCTTAGCTATTTAAAAGCAGCTATTTTCAGTCGTGACCCAGCTCAGCACAGTTTGATTTGCTTTGGTTTGATTTGCCTTACGGCATATCAACCTCGAGGAGCTATTTAATGCCAACAATATATTTATTGCTGGTAATATTTTTAAAAAATATATTGCTGGTAATATTTTTTTCCAAAAAGGTATTGATGATATTAATACCTATTTTTACACTTTCATAGAGTTTTGACCGCAGTTTGGGGATAACTATTTGTCCATAGCTGCGACCCTAACAGCTGCTGTCAGGGTGGACCTGGTAATATCAGCAATTAACAGGTGGTTCCATGCTCCTCAAAACCTCCTGCTTAGAGGCCTTGATGTTGGATGTAGTTTATCGTCTTACCCAGGGCGGGCACAGTTTGAGAATAAATTAATAAAATCAATGGATAAAGAGAAGTAGACAATGTTGATATTTGTTAATAATCTATTTTGAAAATCTGACAAATATTATCAATTATATTGTTATAGCATGGTTCAAATAATTGTTATAGCCTGGTTCAAATAACTACCAAAAGTGCTTTATTTACAGCAATTTAGTTAATTTTATAACATGTACCAATTTTTCAAAGAAAAAAAGGTGACTTCAAAGATGGACCAGAGAAAAAGAAAAGGGACTTGACCCATGTAATGACAGGTTATTTGTATCAGAATATGATATGTCCCCTCAGAATGTAGGTGATCATTGCAAATAGTTTGAACCCATGTGTGGACATTAGTATCTTGGGCAAGTTTTTTTCAAATCCCTTGATAACAACAAATAATATATTAACATACTTGTAAAATCTGTGATTGCATAAAAAAACATTATGTATCTTAAGTGAGCTCTTTCTGCTCAAAATCTAAAATAATGATCAGAAGTATTAATAAAATGAAAATTATGGCATATTTTTTTAGCTAGAGAAAAAATAACTTTCCATTTTCATTATTTTAAAGAAATCCACTTTACAAAATGTAAGTCATTAAAAGTCATTCAAATTAATAAAATAATTCAAAATACATGACAGTTTAATGACAAAAACACATTTGACTGAATTTAAAATTTTTTAAACTAGTGGGGAACTGTAAAAAGCCATGATTAAAACTTATAAGTTTCATTTCTACAGCAGCTGAAAATACAGATGCACAGAAAATAGATACATTGGGCCCAATTCAAATTCTGATCAAGTCTGTTGCATGCACTTTCGCACTACTGCCTAACTGGGAAAGGCATGAATCCATTTCTTCTTTCCCCAGCTGTGGATTAAAAAACAGGATAGATTGTCACACATATCTAGAAGGAAAACTGAATTCATAGCCAGTCTGAAGAGAGATAAGCTCTGTCAGGCTCAATTGTCTTAGACACTCCACTACAAATGCAGTACATGTGGTAATTCAACAGGGTGCATTTACAGCACCCATGACGATGGAATGCCTGGGTCTGTAAGACAGCACATCTTGGAAATCAAGAACCCAAGTGGTCAGTTTAGTATTCAGGAAAAAAAAAAAAAAAATCAACATATAATTCCAAATAACATTTCACTTTTTGTAAGTAAATGAAAGAGAAAATGGAAATAAAAATTCTTACCTCATGTATTTTGTCTGTAAAAGGAACTTCTTCAGACTAATAATGGTTTTAACCAGGGTTGATTGATTGATTTGTTTATGGTTTATTTTGGAGATAATAATGATTCTTAGTCCTACTAATTAACCCATAGCTGGGCAGAGAAGAAATGGATTCCAAGAGTATTTGCATGTAATAAAATATAACAAACCCAAATGGAATTGGAACTCAGCTCTCTGATCTGCAATTCTAAGCCATTATCAATTATATCACCGACACATCCAAGTTTACAGCACCTGGTATTCCAAAGCAGTTACCCATCTAGGTACTGACCAAGCTCAACATTGCTGTACTTCAGTGATCATATGAGAACTGATGATTCAATGTGATACAGCTATAAGCCTTTAACAATGAAATCAATACAACAAATGCCAGTTTTCCAATCCTGTTTAATAAGTAAATTTGATTGTATGTTCAATGCTTAGTTTTCAAGATAAGCTTTTTTCCAAATCTGCCGTTATCTTCTTTCTTACTTCTTCATGTGCTATGTCCCTTCAGAATGTAGGTGATCATGGCTCTCCACAATTTCTTGTTCTTCATAGCTCTTAATAAATTTTTGTCTTTCTGTTATTTCTCCTAAATCTTGTTCTGTCATCCATTTACTCACTAAGTAAATTAGGCATTGTCTTCCTCTGTTCTTCTTGCCTACAATGTCCTGTGAGTATCAGATTTTCCAAGCCCTCTTTCCTCATTAGTGCCCTAAAATTTTCAACTACCTTTCTCCTGATGCTAAGTATAAGTTTCATTTTTGTTTCCATTTTCTCTAAAACTTTGTCGTTGCTCAAATATTTGGTCCATGGTATCCTCAGCATCCTTCTGTAGAACCACATTTCATCTGTTTCAAGTCTCTTCTTCAGCTTTAAAAAGGTTGCCCAGTATTCACTGCCATATAGGAGGACAGATATTATGCACAAGTTCATTCTAGGTTGCTCTAACAAACGCTCCTGCTCAGGGAAGAATCCTGCTAGGAACTTCAAGTAGTGCAACGATCCTCAACTATTTTTGCTTAAGGTTTCCTTTTTCTTCCACTGCGTTTTCTGATAAGCAGCCATGAAATCATAAATTGCTCAGATTGGGTAAAGAGTGAAACCCTCTCATTGCCGCCTTCCCACTGCCAGCAGAAATGGTTTACACCTTCATGCTTGAAAAACATAGATACAAAAGCATTACCAATTCTGCTCCCACATATTTTTCTATTAACAATTATACGATGAACGTGTTCTTTAAGTGGAGATAGCTTTTATTGAGTTACACAAAATTTGAATCCAAACACAATTGGCATTGGAAAAACTCAACATGTGAATTATTCCAACAGTCAAGGAAAGAAGATGATAGTGAAAAGAGATGTTGAAATACCTGAAAGCTAAAAGAAAAGAGTTTTTGGGGGGGGAAATAATGTATTCTTTAACATGGCAGTAATTATAATTTCTCTTCTAGAAGAGGCTTTGAACACATTTGAAAGTGGGAGGCAAGAACAATCTCAGAGAGATGTGCACGCATGCACACACACACACACACATATAATGGCCAGATATTTGTTTCCAAACACTCATCTGCTAGGTTGGCATGCAGATCCACGTTGCATGATTCAAACTGTTCATCATGCAAGATGATGCATGCTCACCCATGTCTGTTCAGCAAAGTTGTAGTATAATAGGTGGATTGTGAGTGTTGAACAAACACAAATGTGCCTGAACGTGGATCTGCAGCAGGGATTGGCTAGCCAACCTAGCAGATGAGTGTTCTTGGAAACAAATATCTGGCCATTATGTATGTATGTGTGTGTATATTTTTATATATATATATATACACACACACACACACAGAAAATAAACTGAACACAAACAGTTAAACAAAAATTAGATTGCAATTTATTCCTCTTCCCTTCCTATAAACTGATTTTAAGAACTGTGATTTTGGTGAGAAATAGAAAACAACTGAGAGAATGATAGATATACACAGTGTGGACATAGGAATCAACACTTCATGGTGACTGACTGTATCATGCCTCAATGCAATCTTCAGACCAAAGGCTGTATGTATGTAATCTATATGGCAGGCTTATCTCAGTAGCAGGTATTCCTATGAAGCAAGGAATACATTGTTTATCTAATAAAAATTATTCCATATAAAAGATATCTCTGTTTATTAAGTTTAACATATTTATTCCAATTGTCTCATAAAGATTGAAGGAAAGACAGTGAATTTGTACCAACTGCAATGAATACTTGGAACTCATAAGCGTATATGTGCTTTTGAAAACCTTTATTTCTGATAAACAAAATTCAATTATCTATAATCTTTTTTTTTCCACAATAGAATAATATGACACTTGTAGATAAAATATTGAGGAATCAAGTCACTTTCTGCTGGCTTAGTGAATTTTCAGATTTTTTACAGCAAAATTACTGATCACTTAAGTTAAGAACAGAATTTGACTGAACGGCACTTTATGTCATGACTTCTTCAATTTCCATTCATTTTCATCTTAAGAGCTTAACAGCGTTATTTGCTTACCCTATTCTTCAGGGCATGATTATATATATATATATATATATATATATATATTATAGGATATTACATTAAACCCTGTAGAAATAACACTACATAAATGCACTCATGTTTCAATGTGTATCAACACATCAGGCATTCATGAATTTAAGCGTTCAACTAGACTGGCATCTCACTCTGACCCTTTCACTGTCAAAACTGTTAAATGTAGCCATCTCTTCTACTCCAATAACTTCATGTCTCACACTTATCGCCTGTGGAACTCCCTCCCCTTTTCCGGTTTCACTGATAGCTATAATCTGCAACTATTCAAATGTAATGTCAATCGACATCAGCCGACGACTTGATCTATCCCCTATCCTTCTCTTCATCCTTTCCTCTATCACTCCTATTTGCTCTCACTCCAAGCCACTGTAACCCCTTGTGTGCTAGTGGCTTCACACCTTGCTTGGGGTGAAACGCTTGAAAAAAAAAGTAAAAAATAACTGATTACAATTATTAGGATTTACTTGTATACAACCTTTTTTCCTGCAAAAAAAGAAAAAAGAAAAGGAGCAAGAAAGAAAGACACAAGATATAATCTCTTTTCTAGAGTAAAGTAAGAAGAGAAAAAGGAAAAATATAAAGAAAGTAAAGAAAGTAGCAAGACTTGTTATGTTTATAATCAGTTCAACCAATCAAAATGGCCAAAATTGCAGCAAATACAGACTTTATATTAGAAACAAAACTTTGCTACAATGTTAACATCAAATGGCTGACATTTCCTATGAGGAAGAAAAAGTAATTTAATAATACTTTATAGTAGATGAATAATATGGCTCTTTAAGAAATAAAAGAAGGAAAAGTAAAGAAAAATATTTTGCAAAATAATGAAAACTTATCACAAAGTATGTGGAGTAAACAAACAAAAAAATTTTAGCATAGAGATCATATAAAATAAGAAAATATATAGATCATTCTCAATGGAATGCAACTGTTAACTAAAGGGTTTTATATAGGGTATTAATAAAACAAATCAATAGAGAATTTTAAAACGTCAGCCAAACATATATATCTCTAGATAAAATATTACCAGTAATGTTAGAAGAATAACATACAAACTATACTATATGCACACGCTGCTATGTTTCTCAAACAAATCTTCATTTAATGAGTGTTTTCTAATTCTACAGAGGAAGGAATATATCAGATTACAGACAGTGGGTGATTGGAATTAGGGTGGATATAGATTCAGTTGGCATTGTTTTTTATATAAGGCTAAAAATTGTTACATCAAGGAAATCAACTTGTTTGATATTAGTACTTATTTTAACCTTAATATCTAAACTTTTAAATTCCCTATGAATCATTTTTCTTAGTTTATCGACTTTAATTTTTTTTTTTTTTTACAACTATAAGACCATCATCTCTATATAGCCCTATACTGTCTAGAGTGATCCCCTCATAAGCAGAAAGGTTATACAAAATATATAAACCAACCAGTTCAGAAGACTACACAGAATCTAATGATCCCATAGAAATGTCAAAGTTATAATCAGAATTTTTAACCCACTATTCTTTATTGTCGATGAGGATAGAATTCCTACAATTCATAATAATATTTATTGCTTCAGTTGAGATGTTGGGAGAAACTTTGGCAAATTCTAATGCCAGTGTAAAGAGGTCCTTAGATATGGAAGGGTAGAACTCAACAATATCGAACTGGATAAAGGTGCAACTGTTTTTATGGCCAATGTTTCTAAACCAGTTAATAATATCAGTGGTCTACTACTGGATTGTATTGAGCCCTATTTGAAATTAATGTTATGAACATATATATACTGAATTCTATTTAAGGAACAAGAATTCATCCAAACAAGTTTTATTAAATTCAACCAACAAGTTCGGGCTTTAATATTTCATTTTTTTCTATTTTTGAATAAGATGCTGTAGACCTGAATCAAAATTCTGGATAAATTGCCTGAAGTTAATGTTTAGTTGTTCTTGTTCACATACTTTTGACCATCTTTGGTCATAATAAAAAATATAGATGATGTTATACCTGAATTCTATCATTCCTAAAAATGCCAGGATGAAGACAACAAAATTAAATTAACTGAAATTAAGATTAATTCAAACAAAGAAATTAAAGGCCAAAAAGGATAATGGCAAAGGTTCATCGGCAGAAAGCTTAATCCATAAAATATCAAGGAAGATTCTGGAAATGACAAGTAATTATTTTCATTATTTCCAAAGCAGTATAAAAGAACATTGGGTTTAAAGTTCTAGTTTCAAGATTGGCCCCACAGGATAAAAGCTTAGGGGAGAAAAATTGTGAGTTCAATCCCTGGGTTGGATAGTACAGGTTCAGACTTGGTAGAAACAGAACTAACAACAACTGAGCAGTACGAAAAATGACCAAGATATGGACAACAGAGAAAGAACAATACCCTTAGATTAAATAAGAGGTTCAGTTCAGAATTCCCTGAAGGTCATCCAGATCAACAGACACTTGAAGAAAGTCAATATCATGATAACAACAAAAACGAGGACATTAGTCTAACTGTAAATAATGATAATTGCTTGTTGTATAGAAAGACAACTGACCTTCACTACTCTAAATAGTTGAACATGGACTCTTCCATTGACTATAAAAGTAGCCACAAGCAAGACAGAAGGGAGTTGCAAACAATGTCACACTATGATATCTGCTAGTATTGTTATATTAATCTACATGATTAAACAGTCTTTTTCTTGAGTTTTCCTTTGGAATAGTATTAACCCAAACTACAAGTTGATGCAAGCAATATATCATTCCTCACCCCAGAAAATTAC